CCCTTCCTAACCTGTGGCACGGCCGGGTGTTGGGGGGAGGGCCACCGGGGAGCAGCAGTGGAGTCTCCCTCCTTCACCCAGCCCCTGCCCACCACCTACTTCCCCATGGCGTCTATTGTATACTAGGAATCATGTGCTAAGAATTCAGCTCTATGTTTTAAAATAGAATACCTGCTGGAAACCAGGTCCAGCGTCCCATATCAAAACCATCAAGAAGACTCACTTCCCTGCCTATCCTGCAGCCGGGTCGAGGATTGGAGCGGGGCGGCAGGGGTTAAGAGAGAGAGAGAGAGTTCACTGGGGCCTAAGATTGAAAAATGAAGAATACAGAATGAAAATACAGAAATTGGTGCTGGAAACCGGGTCCAGCGTCCCATATCAGAATCATCAAAAACACACCTCCTTTGCCTATCCTGCAGCTGAGTAGAGGATGCAGGATGAGAATACAGAAAATGCAGAAGACCGCAGACAGGTCCTCAGGGCGGTATGATAGCCCATCTTATCCTTCGCCAGAACATTTAGTCCCGCAAGGAGAGTGTGGCATACTGCGTAGCCACACGGGCCCTGCAGGGCCCGTCCCGCACTTTCAGCCTCAAAGCCTAGAAAATAGGGCTTACAGGCCCCGGTCGTTTCAGCCTGAAACTGAAAAACGAGGGCCTGCAGGCCCTATTCCGTTTTCAGCCTATTTCTGGGCCTTTCAGGCCCAGAGGCTTTTCAGCCTGAAACGGAGGGCCATTTTCAGGCCCTCATTGTTTCAACCGGCCCTAAAACTCAGGCACAAAAACAGGGTTTTCAGAACAGGCTATCTTTAGCCGGTTCCCACGACTGCCTCAAGCAGGAGCTGCAGCGGAGGGAGATGGCTGGCGGAGGCCAGCGGTACTTACCTGTGGCGCCATAGCTCCAGATCCATCTTCGAGGCACCTGCATCAAGGCGCCAACTGCACAGGTTAGTACTGGACGCAGAGAGAGAAAGAGTTCTTCTTCTTCCTCTTCTAAGTCCACCATCTCTTCTCACCCTCTCACCACCTGACTTCTCAGACTACGACAGAGAGAGAGAGAGAGAGAGAGTTGTGACTTGAGACTTGACGACATTGGATCCCGACTCGACATTTGAGATTCAGACATTTTGACGAGGGACTATTTGGGCCTGTGCCGAAGACTTGGTGTTGACGACATTCCCATCTTCCCCTCCTCTTCGTCTAACCCCCTTCTTCTTCGTCTGTGTATGGTTGGGGCTGGCGCAGTCTTCCTGTGTGAAGCGCCAGACCCCTTTCACACCATGGAACGATGATGATGATGTATGTTCAGGGCTGCATTGCAAT